GAAAGAAAGAAAGAAAGAAAGAAAGAAAGAAGAGAGAAAAGAAAAAGAAAAGAAAAAATACTTGAGGTGCCTGAGTGGCTCTGTTGGTTGAGCATCTGATTCTTGATTTCATCTCAGGTCATGACAGGTCGTGGGATGGGGCCCCGCATCAGGCTCAGCGCTAAGCATAGAGCCTGCTTGCGATTCTCAGTCTCTCTCTCTCTTTCCTTTTCCCCAGCTCACTCTCTCTCTCTCTAAAATTAAAAAAAAAATTTTTTTTTAAGAAAAACTATTTGATGCATGAGCCTTGGGTGCAGGAAAAAAGTGAGAGCTGGAGATAATCAATTTTCGTCATTAGCTACAGTTAATATTTAAATCTCCAGGACTAGATAAGGTTATCATAGGGAAAGACCAGAAGGAAAAAGGAATAGAAATACATACTTGTATTATAATACAGAAATATAATAGAAAATAGCATGCATTATTTCACAGAGTAAGGGCAAATACTAGTCCATAAAATTTTTATTTCAGAGACAGAAAGATTATAGTGAGATAGATAAATGTATATAAACAGATTGGTATATGTAATTTGTATACTTATAAATGTACTGGGAATAATGTAAAATGTATTTCCTATCAGAGACTGTGATCCAAAATATTTAAGAAATTCTAGGGGATGAGAAGCCAGGAAAAAGGTAAACAATTAGGCGCTGTGGTCGGAAGAATACTATGAAAGTATAGTGTACAAAAGCCAAGAGAAATACTTCGTAGAAGAAATGCTCACCTATATGGAATGAATATGAGAGGTTAAATACAATTAAGACTAAGTGACCAGTGACCATGGGCTTGGTAATATGGAGACCGTTTGTTGCTGACCTTGACAAGGGCCACTTCAGTGAACAGTGGTAGTGGAAAACACTTTAGCGTGGATGAGAGGCAAAAAAGTACATACAACCAATACAGACAAGAGAAAGAAAACCTCCCCAGGAACCTGGAATTTGAACATCAGAATTCACTATGTGAAAGAGCCAGTCAGAGTTTTAAAATAAAGTAGGCTACCAGTTTCTTGGGACAGTCACAGGTTTCTAATCTCCAATGTTGACTGTATTTGGAGATAGGGCCTCTAGAGACTTAATTAAGGTTAAAAGAATTCATAAGGGTGAGGCCCTAATCCAATACGACTGGCTTTCTTACTAGAAAAGATTAGGGCACAGACACACACAGAGAAAAGACCACGCGAGAACACAGGGAAAAGACAGCCGTCTACAAGCCAAGGACAGAGGCCTCAGAAGAAATCAACCCTGCTGACACCTTGATCTCAGACTTCTAGCCTCTAGAACTGTAAGAACATAAATTTCTGTTGTTTAGTGTATGTGGTATTTTGCTATGGCATCCCTGCAAACTAATACAAGGCCTGAGATTCCCGAGCCTCAAGTCTGGTCAGATCCTTCCCCCCAACCTCTCATCCCTCCCCAAGCCCCCCAGGTCCATCCTAGTCGAACCATGAAGCTAGAGCATCATTAGCTCTCTCAACAACAACAACAACAACAAAAGTGCTTGAATTACTTCTTCATAAAGCTATTATTAGTTCTGGACCATTCCAATCAAAATAAGATGTTCTTTTTTACTTACCACACCTCACCTCTCATTCCACAATATTTTCTGAAACCAAAGGCAAGATATTTTCAGACAAATGAGTAAAATCAAAGTTAAATAGCTCTCCGGAGCTGAGAGAGCAAGTATGATGTAGTAACAATCAGGAATTTTGATGCCCCCAGTTGGGCAAACATTCTACCCAAGGTTTTGTACAGTCTATGTGTCACATCCCCACTCCCAGGCAGCTCACATCTTCAGATTGGAAAAGAAAGCATATGCTTACATGCTTTCCTCCTTCCCCACATGCAAACAAACCACACAGATCTGCTTTTCTTTACTTCCAGAATCTCACATATCTACAATTAGCCCCAAATCCTGACGTCGCAAGCAGGAAACCGAGAAAGGCTTTTCAATTGTTTTACCACCAGAAAAGAGAGGCTGTTAACTCCGGTTCCTTCCTAAAGCAAGAAAATTAAAAATATACACACACATATATAAAAACAAATACATATATAGGCATTTGCATAAGTGCACACGTATCTTCTCTGAACACAGTTGATACTGAGCATTTAGTACATCATGTAATGAATGCATTTATTTTTATTTCTGCTTAGTTATTGCATCAACCTGAACCCATTCTTCAATATATTGGAATTATGAAAAATTAAGCTCACTGACATCTGGTTCTCAATTCCCAAATTTTCACAACTGCTCAGCCACGTTGCTCAGAGACCTGTGGTTATCAGTTACTGTACATACAGAAGTCAAGAAGATCTAAAATGACGCTAATATTACCCTGAGAAGAAAGTTTTATGTCGTCTCAACCCAAGAAAGTCAAAAAATCACAGCAAACAAAACAGCACCATTATTACAAAACTGAGAGTTAGGTTACCTGATCCTGGAAGTTTAATATAGCCGGGTTTTTTTTAAGTTCTGCCTAGCCTAGACATTTCTGTCGGGAATCTAGTTTGAGCCTGAACTCGAAGTAAACAATTTCACGGAGGGTTTCATACCCAACTCTGTCCCCACCCCCTGATTCAATGAAGGAACGGAAAGTTCTCATTATCATCAGGGCCCGAACCTCTAAAAAAAAAAAGGACAAGGAATAACCAATCACTTCACCTTCGAATGCAGGCCAAGGTTAAAATCTGGGCAGACAGTGGTAAGAACGGCAATCAGGAGCAGACGCTGCCCTCTGAGAAGCAAGCAGTATCTGGTTTAACCCCGAGTCAGGATGCCCAGCCCTGGAACCTGTTCTTTCCCTCTCCAGGATGCCAGAGGGCCTGTCCTGGGTCAGGGGCACATCTCCCCCGAGCGACTTGGGCAGCGGATGATTTTAAGACACTTGTCCATCCACGACATTTAAAGCCAAAAAAAGAGAGACAGAGACAGGGACAGAGAAAACAAGCGAGCACCCCGAGTCGCGCGGGCGTGTGTACCGCCGTGTGGAACTGCCCCGCGGCGGATGCCCCACTCACCGCACACCATCAGCAGCAGGACGATCAGCAGCGTGACCACGAACACCAGCAGGGTCAGCCCGACGTTGTGCCACATCTTGGGGAGAGGAGGGCGG